TGATTTAATCATGCAAATTTAACCATTTTTGATTGAAACGCGCGCGCTTTCAATCGTTAATTATAATTGTAACAGTTGCAACACGTGATGGAAGTTCGGAGCTTTGAAGTAGAAAGAGCAGCCTTCCGCATTGTAAAAATAATTTGTTTTGTTTCATTCGCGTTTTAGCTTTCATCACTTTTATTAAATAAATAAAAAAAAATAACATTTGTGCTCTCGCCGTAATTTTCCCTTTCTGCAGTTTCGTTTTCGCATTGTTTCGCAGTGGGGAGAAAAAAAATGAAATAAATAAAGGAATGAGTGAAAAGGGTGGACTGCTATGAATACGGAAAACGTTGAATAATGAATGAAATTGAATTTATCGAGAGACGGGACGATTGCAATTACATGTGCACGAGATAATGCGTTATTTATGCGCCTGTAAATTTCGCAGCGAAACAATTAGGAGACTTCGGAGATGTTCATAAGCGAAATTGAATAAGAGGAAACAATGGAGCGAATAAAATAATTATTTGCGAGGGAAAACAATAAAACTGTTTTGTGTGTGTGTGTATGTTTTGGAGTTGGGTATTAAAAGGTGGCGGAGCGTTGGAATAGAGGGCGAAAGATGGGGCAGAGAGATACAGAGAAGGAGGATGAGAAAGGAGAAGGATAAGACGAAGTCTGCTGCTGCTCCTCCTTGTGTAAGTTGAAGGCAAAAGGTTGTAAGTCTAATTACCTCTCCAGAGATTCATTAATCACAAACTCGCGTAATTACATTCGCTAAGTTTATACATATTATAGCGAGGACCGTTCTTCCTTTTCCCCGGCATCCGCAAACAGAACAAACACTTATCTGATGGAGCATAAAAATTGGACGTCCTTATCCTCAACCTCGTCCTCCTACTTCTTTGGCCCTTCCAATTCCCTATCCACGGATTATTGCTGCGATTCCCTTTCGACGTTCCTCTGGGCGAAATAACCTGAGGTCCCGATCATCATCATCATCATAATCATCCCTGTCCCTGGAACGTTGGGACGCCTCAATTAAATTATACATAAGATCAAATGCAAGGCAGAAAACTAATTTTAATTATGCTTCCGTAATTGTTCGCCCATTAAAGATCTTCATGTATATGTATGTATGCATGCGCTTTCCTCGGTCCACTAAAACCGGCACCTTCATTAAGACGCGAAATTTATCTTGTTAAACTTCAGTAATTACTGCAGATAAAGTGTTCCTTTCTCAATAAGTTTCTCGCCAGAAATTATTACAGACCTCTTTCAACTTCTAATAATTCCACTTACACATACACACGTACACACATAAGTCGGCCTCTCGTAAAACATCGTAATAATCTTGTAATAACCGAATCCCATCTTTGTTTCAGCCTCAGCACACTAAAACTCGCTTCCCATTAATATCACCTGCATAGAAATATACACGGTGTCTCCTATACGATACATATTACAACATTATTCTTCATTAATCAAAAATATTAAGATAGAATATTACATTTTTTTCAAGTTAAATTGGCTAAGAAAACAGATTAATTATTTGTACTTCTTAATTTATATAAAAGAAAATACCCCACATAATCCGCTTCAATTACCAGTTTAAAAGACAATACCTCACATTGTCCGGTATGATTAAATCCCTTTCAATTAAATCGTTTTTACAGAAATTTTTGAAGTTCTATTAGCTAAGAAAACATATTTATTATTTGTAAAAAAATACCCCACACAGTCCTGTTCAATTACCAGTTCAAAAGACAATACCTCACATAGTCCGGTATGATTAAGTACCTTTCAATAAAATCGTTTTTACAGAAATTTTTCAAATTAAATTAGCTAAGAAAACAGATTAGCTATGTGTACTTCTTAATTTATGATTAAACAGGTTTTGTAAAAAAAATACCCCACATAGTCCGGGTCATTTACCTGTTTAAAAGACAATACCTCACATAGTCCGGTATAATTAAATACCTTTCAATTAAATCTTTTTTACAGATTTTTTTTAAATTAAATTAGCTAAGAGAACAGATTTATTATTTGTACTTCTTTATTTATGTTTGAACAAGTTTTATAAAAAAAATGTCCCACATAGTCCGGTTCCATTACCAGTTTAAAAGACAACACCTCACATAGCCCGGTATGATTAAGTACATTTCAATTAAATCGTTTTTACAGAAATTTTTCAAGTTACATTAGCTAAGAAAACAGATTAATTATGTGTACTTCTTAATTTATGTTTAAACAGGTTTTATTAAAAAAATACACCACATAGTCCGGTTAAATTACCAGTTTAAAAGACAATACCTTACATAATCCGGAATGATTAAGTACTTTTCAATAAAATCGTTTTTATAGAAGTTTTTCAAATTAAATTAGCTAAGAAAACAGTTTAATTATTTGTAGTTCTTAATGTATGTTTACACATGGTTTATAAAAAAACACCCCACATAGTCCGGTTCAATTTCTTGTTTAAAAGACAATACCTCACATAGTCCGGTATAATTAAATACCTTTCAATTAAATCGTTTTTACAGAATTTTTTTAAATTAAATTAGCTAAGAAAACAGATTAATTATGTGTACTTTTTAATGTATGTTTAAACATGTTTTATAAAAAAAATACCCCACATAGTCCGGTTAAATTACCAGTTTAAAAGACAATACCTCACATAGTCCGAAATGATTAAGTACTTTTCTATAAAATCGTTTTTATAGAAGTTTTTCAAATTAAATTAGCTAAGAAAACAGATTAATTATTTGTACTTCTTAATGTAAAAATACCCCACATAGTCCGGTTCAATTACTTGTTTAAAAGACAATACCTCACATAGTCCGATATGATTAAATACCTTTCATTAAAATCGTTTTAAAAAAAAATCAAGTTCAATTAACTTAGAAAACAGATTTATTATGTGTACTTTTTAATTTATGTTTAAACATGTTTTATAAAAAAAAATACCCCACATAGTCCGGTTAAATTACCAGTTTAAAAGACAATACCTCACATAGTCCGGTATGATTAAGTACTTTTCAATAAAAATCGTTTTTACAGAAGTTTCTCAAATTAAATTAGCAAAGAAAACAGATTAATTATTCGTAGTTCTTAATGTATGTTTACACATGTTTTATAAAAAAGAATACCCCACATAGTCCGGTTCAATTACTTTCTTAAAAGACAATACCTCACATAGTCCGGTATGATTAAATACCTTTCAATTAAATCGTGTTTAGAGAAATTTAGTTTTGAAACTCGTCTTGCTGAAATCATTAAAATCACTATAGTATAAGTATAACTTCGTAAAGTCGCTTCTCATTAATTTCACCTGCATTAAAATACACGCTGTCTCCTATATGAGATATATTATGCTTCATTAAGAAATAATGAAAAAAAATCCTGATTGAATCCAAAAATTCTTTCAAGTTAAATCATTCAAGAAAATAGATCAATTACTTGTAGTTTTTAATGTATGTTTATACATGTTTTACAAAAAAAATACACCGCACAGTCCGGTTCAATTATTTAGATATTATTCATCATATTATTTATACTTCTTTATTTAAGTTAAAAGGGAATACCTCGCATAGTCCGGTTGAAGGTAACTCAACAAACTTACAAGGAAAATCACTAAATACATTTGGAAAAGAACTTAGTTTCACTCATATTATATCTTCTATATAATTCGCATTAGCGCTATAATCAAAAATATTAGGACAAAACTTATTTTCTTGTATTAAATTCATGTAAAAGCAAACAAAACATTTGTGATATATATATATATATAAAAGAAAATACAATAAGAAATTGAAATTGATAAATTTTGGAAATATTTGGGGTTTTCTTTTCACAAGGTTGGATGCAATTTAAGAAATTGATTGTGTCTACATGTATATATATATATTATATAGTATATAGACACGTGTGTGTGAGTGTATCTGAGAAGATCCGCGAAGGGCGATAATTTAAAGTCCGTAAATTAAGTTTTCGGGGAGAAAACTTTCAAAGTGACAGCGATGTAATTGTGAAGTTGTCTTCGGGGCGGCCGTACGTACTGGAGGCGGCAGCGGCGGCGGCGAGGTGAAGGCAGCAGGGAAAAGCGGGGGTGGTGTATGTATGTGTGTGTGTGGATGCTGAGGCTGAGGCGGCAGAAGCTGTATAACCGCCGTGATAAATTATGCGTAAATGCCGTGCTGTATCTGCACCCTCTCGCCGTGAAATTTCTCGTATGAATTATTATTTACAGCTACAGCTCGTATAAGCTTCATAATTACTACATAAAGCGTTATAATTCCTCGCGCTTTAATTAATTGCCGGTCACAGCGATATAAAGATATTACAGGTGCGATAACTTACGCGCCCAATTTCGAATACCTCTTCGCTCGTATCTAAGTACTTAATATAGTTATAGCCTACAGAAGGTTATATGTCTACTACTATTTTATAGACATATATTAATATTTACATATATATTTGCATAAATTACAATTAAAACTTAATTATCATTAAGACACATAACAGTTTATTATAGTTATTTGTTATATAATCGTATAATCAAATTTGTAATCGAATAGAACAATAATAACGTTTGTGTTTGTAGTAATATTGTAATTGTAGTCCACATTAAGTATTTAACAATTAAATAAAGATGACTTCAAAGTGTTTTCAATAGGTAGTATGCAATCAAAACATTCTGGGAAAACCTATAGGTTTTTTTCTCTTTATTACCAATAATTATTGGGCCAAAGGGTGGGTTTTTCTAAATTCATGCTAATTCAATAAACTTGCTACCTGTTATTAGAAAAAATACAATTATTTAGATATAAAACGTAATAAAATATACCTGATTTTACGACCCCCCCAATAAATAACTCCCACCACTTATTGGTGATTTTGTTAATACTTTTGCAAAAGGGATGTACTATAAAAGATAAGCAGATCATTGCAAATGCATCAGTTTCTTGCAACCTTTTGTGACAGTAACAACTCAAACTATCAGCAAAACTAGAAAAATGAATTCTTTCAAAGAATACTCAAATTCAATGTACGAGGATATTAGTGATGCCGAGGACATTTGTATTGGCGATGGACATAATTGCATGTCAGAAGACATCGGTGATGTCGAGGACGTGGATTTAGTGGATGAAAAGTGTAGTGAAAACGGTAATAATGATGTAGATCACAAGGATGACTCCAGCTATGATGGAGATGACGAATATTCCTCCGGCAACGAAACGGAATCTGACGAAGATGAAGAGTCCGAAGATGAAGACATCAAAGATAAACACTCCCAAGATGAAGATTCCAAAGATGAAGACACCAAAGATGAAGAGTCCGAAGATGAATATTCCGATGATGATGACTCAGAAGATGACCATAATGATAGTGATTTTCTACACTTTTATTATGAAGAACAAGGAACGTGCAGCCAATTTTATGAAAAGACGTACAATCCGATGGAATGCGGATATAAAAGATATGAAGCAAAACGTTTGCGTTTGTGGTAGAATTGTAATTATTTTGTAGATTGTTGTATTATAAAATGTACATATTTATTGTTATTACATAAATTTATAAAATTAAATAAATTTCGATTTCATCTAATATAATTTCTTTTAATTATAACATAAGAGTTTGTAGTCCCTTAATTAGAGAACTCGCTTATAAAAACCGAAACTCGTCGACAATTTCCCAATCAAAATCCAACCCTTATGAATTTGTCATCATTACATTTGATTCTGGATTGCGTTTTCGAATTAATTCATTTGAAAAGTCGTATCTTTGTTAATTTCTTGTGATCTACTAAATATAGACTATAGATTTAATATGTAATATATTTAGCAGTACTTTGTAGTCCACATTAAGTATTTAACAATTAAATAAAGATGACTTCAAAGTGTTTTCAATAGGTAGTATGCAATTTGCAGTGCAATCAAAACATTCTGGGAAAACCTATAGGTTTTTTCTCTTTAGTACCAGTAATTATTGGGCCAAAGGGTGGGTTTTTCTAAATTCATGCTAATTCAATAAACTTGTTACCTGTTATTAGAAAAATTACAATTATTTAGATATAAAACGTAATAAAATATACCTGATTTTACGACCCCCCTATAAATAACTCCCACCACTTATTGGCGATTTTGTTAATACCTTTGCAAAAGGGATGTACTATAAAAGATCAGCAGATCATTGCAAATGCATCAGTTTCTTGCAACCTTTTGTGACAGTAACAACACAAACTATCAGCAAAGCTAGAAAAATGAATTCTTTCAATGAATACTCAAATTTAATGTACGAGGATATTAGTGATGCCGAGGACATTTGTATTGGCGATGGACATAATTGCATGTCAGAAGACATCGGTGATGTCGAGGACGTGGATTTAGTGGATGAAAAGTGTAGTGAAAACGGTAATAATGATGTAGATCACAAGGATGACTCCAGCTATGATGGAGATGACGAATATTCCTCCGGCAACGAAACGGAATCTGACGAAAATGAAGAGTCCGAGGATGAAGACTTCCAAGATAAACACTCCAAAGATGAAGACTCCAAAGATAAACACTCCAGAGATGAAGAGTCCGAAGATGAATATTCCGATGATGATGACTCAGAAGATGACCATAATGATAGTGATTTTCTACACTTTTATTA